TCACGATTTAACGGTTATTTCAATTTCGATTTTGATGATTTTTTACAGCTACACTCCTTGACCCTATATGAATACAATGAACCAATTCGATCGTCAATTTAAAATATATATTTTCTAACAAAAACCCAATCCGAACTACAATAATATATTTTTCTAACAAAATAATTTTTTTATTTTATTTATTTTTGTAAAGACTTTGCAAGACGAAGATTATTATTTCGTCGCGCAAAGTCATCCAAAAACTTTTAAAAATAATTTTTTATTTTATTTGTTTTTGTAAACACTTTGCGAGACGAAGATTATTATTTCGTCGCGCAAAGTCATCCAAAAATTTTTAAAAATAATTTTTTATTTTATTTATTTTTGTAAAGACTTTGCGAGACGAACGACACTTCGTCGCGCAAGACTTTGTGCACCGAATTTTTGTCTTTCATTGCGCAAAGTCATGCATAGATTTTTAAAAATAATTTTTTATTTAATTTGTTTTTGAAAAGACTTTACGAGACGAACCACACTTCGTCGCACAAGACTTTGTGCACCGAATTTAAGTGTTTCGTAGCACAAAGTGACTTTGTGCGACGATTTGTGTTTCGTTGCGCAAAATTTAGTCTTGTAAGACTTTGAGCGACGAAGTTTAATTTTCGTCGCTCAAAGTCACTTTGTGCGACAAATTGTGTTTCGTCGCGCAAAGTTTGGTCGCACAAGGGTTTTTTTTAACTAGTGTAGGAAACAATTCATGATTTTCTTGGTTGACCAAGAAACAGATGGAAAGTTTTTTTTTTTTTTTTAATGTGTTCTCCCTGATTCGTTATTAGAACCTTCTCCCATATTGTTTGATGAAGCTACCACTACAAGAAAATCGAGTATTTACAATGCGGCATTTACAGCGTGCATTTGTGGCGCGCCGTAAAAGTGTAGTTTTTATGGCATGCATTTTGAGTGCACCGTAAATGAATTTTTTCCTATGCATTTCGAGAGCGCCGTATACTGGTGCTATAGTACTACCAGGTTTTTTTGTTTATTTCATCTTTTATTTTCGTAGGTCTTTAATGTGTTTTTTGTTGTTGTTAATTTTAGCAGTAGAATAAGAATTTCGTGACAAAATATTTAGTTTTGATTGTGGATAATGTGATTTCTATTATTTTGTCAAATTGTTGAGATGATTTTGAGTAGTTAAATTGAATTTTATGATTTAATTGAATGTAATTGAGTTATTTTTTTTTGGGTCAAAATTGAGAGTAGAAGATTTTTAATAAATAAAAACGGAGAATTGGGGAAGGGTTTGGGAGACAACAACCCCCTGACAAAAATAATAAAACCAAATATTATTTTTGAG